TCAGAGGGGGATAAACACACTCTGTCCATGTTCAAACATCCCATGAGTCTGTGTAGTTAGCAGAGGTACATACGTGCTGATATGACAGAATAATAGTCAGCCAGACACCACCTCTCAAACAGTGCGGACATGGCTGGAGAAAGAATTAAAATCACGGCTTTAATTCTTCTAAGGGTGACTTTGCCAGGCTGTCTCAGCTCATGGCGAGACTCCATACAGCAGAATGTAAATCTAAAGACCCTTCTGCTCATGAAAGAACCGAGACCCTAATTAGGATTGTGACTAAAACTCCTTTGTGCATCAAAGGTTATTACACAAATATTTGTAAACTCTGCAGAGTGGTCAGTGATGAACGTCGCCAAGACTGAAGTCACTGTGATCACTTGGGACGGAATGAGAACACCAACGGAAAGAACGCTGGGAGAGTGCCCCTCAAAGAATGAAAGGAAAACCATGCTATGGGGTCAAAAGAGGAGTCGAAGGAAATGAGTCATGAACAGTGCCAAACGCCGAAGAGGTGAGGCGTCAGCTAACAGCCATTCACGGCCTTTAAGAGGGCAGTTCCTTCAGGTACTGAAGCTCAGCCTCTATCGCAGTGTCGGGGGGACAGGGACGTGGATGGTGCCCGGGGGAGCGTGCCCACGTGCTTTGAGTCCAGCAGGTGTCCTTTCGGAATAGACCCGACATTCCCGGCGGTGCAGCAGCCCGTGAGAACAGTAACAACACTTTTCTAATCCCTTAGAATTGGACCATTTGTTCTCATTAATTTTAATCTTAACCTGAAAAACTATTGAAACTATTTTAGATCAACATTTAAATTGTCTTGAAATGTTTTAGTTTATGAGTCAAACTGGAGACACAGGCTGTGGAGTAAGATCTCAGCCCTGCTCCACATAGAAATGTGACATGTGAGGGAGAGCCTCCTATTTCGAGAGACTGAGTGACACAAAGGCCACCAGGTTGTCGTCAGTGGGTCACAATGGGGAGTCATGTGCTTGAAACAATGCCACAGGCTTCCAGGTCCGCTGGCTAGTCTTTGGTCTTGGGAATTCATTTCAGCAGAGACTTGTTCAGGCCAGATATGCTGGCTAGTCCCTTACAAGCTCAGCATTTTCAGGCTGCGGCCAAAGAACTGACAGTCCACTTTACTGACACCTTTTATAAACGCAGGTATCAGTGAGTCTCAGACGCTACAGAAAGTCAATGTCATGGTGTGCAATTAGGGTTGAAAGGCTTCTTTATTGCCAGTGTATGTTTAACACAGGATACACTGGCAATGAAGGGTCTAGAATTAGAAAGACAGTTTTATTGGCAAGTGAAAGTCTCTTCTTCTTACGTCTCTTCTTATTATTTAGGCACCAGGGCATGTGGAGGGGCACCTTGTGTGCTGGGATGTGGGGTTTAATGGAATTCTTATGAAGGTCTGACTGTTTAATCAGAGCCCCCTTCTCGGCTAAAAGGATGCCACCGGTGTTTATTCTTGCTGCTCCTCTAGATCTGTAACTCTGGACAGGACAGAATTCGCTGACGTCAAGAAGGCGTACCCTTCTCAGTGCATGTACTGCAAGGACAGAAAGGTGGGGAGGTGGTGCAGTGAGAACTTCAGGACAGGGGCCAGCAGCCCGCAGCCTCATGTCCAAGGGAAGTTTATCGGAACACAGACGTGCTGCTCATGTACACTGTTTCTGGCTGCTTTCGTGGTACACCAGCAGAGACCTTGTATTCCACAAAGCCGAAAGTATTTATTCTCTGGTCCTCTCAGAACAAGTCTGCTGACTCAGAATCCTACTGAAAGCAAACTGTAAAACACTCCCCCCCACCCCCCCTCCACAACACACACACCACGAGATGAGTGGGTTTGAACACTCAGGTGTGTGCTAGTAAGAGATTTTGGCGAGGTGCAAATATGCTTTGATGAAAACTGAGGAAAGGTACGTAAGCTACCACTTTCCATACTAACCGCCTGGGAGGGACTCAGCTTGGCTTCATCCTTTGAGAGGAGGTGCTGTTCTTTTCCTAATGGGCACCTCCGGGGAACAAACATGCTCTCACTGCACTGCCTTATTGGACAGGAAGGCTCTGCGAGGTCAAAGGCCCTTCATGCAGGCAGACCCGAGTACCACGGGTTCTGAAAAAGAGCTTGTCTAGTGCTAAAGAGTGGTCCAGCAGAGCGAGAGGAGGTGGCACCTAGAAGGTCCTATATTCCTGTCCCAGAAAAAGATGCAAATGGGTAATATAACACTTCTGTTTGCCAGTTAAGGATATGGTCCATGCAAAATTTTATGGGTATTTTCCCCAAAAAACTCAAGATATATTTTCAAGGTGAAAGTATTTTTATTATGTTGAAGGGGAAACAATGAATTTAGTGCTCTGTGTGCACTGGCTTACCTCCATCTGCACGGTTCTATTTTTAGTCATCCTACCTGTCCACTCCTCCCAATTACGCCTGCTTTTCAAAACCTCGGAAATGAAGGGCCTTTTTGATCAAGTTCCCTGCGTAGCTACACTTGTATCTTTTCCCATCCCAATGGCTTGTAGAACAGCTGAGAGCAGAGTGTTCAGTGTGACCTCATTATCCGTCACAGGTACTGAACATGCATCCATTTATACATGTGTGCCCACGACGGAAAGGGAGCGCCCCGAGTGTGCTGTCGCCAACAGCAGCCAAGAGCCGACAGACAGCCTGGGGCCGTCCCCGCTTCCAGAGGCAACTGCAGGATTCTAACCGACACCTTTAAACTTACGCAATGAAATCTTAAATGGAGGCACATTTATGAACACCGATGAGAGAAGCTACACACATATAAAACTAGCTGTTTGTGTCGTCTTTAAATAATGTCTTCAATTTCCTTTGCCACAATGAAGATGCGGCTGTGGACTAGTCCCCTCGGAGGCTAATCCGGTTCTGTAATTGCTATTCTTTGAAATGAGCTAGTTGTTTTATCTAATGATTTAGGGGACAATTACTTGACAATTAGTGTGTAACCTACTTTGGAGAATTGCCCGCGTCTCTATGTAAATACCACCATCCCAGTTTAGTAACCCAAGTGGGTGAGTCAAGTAGGGGGCGGGGCGACAAGTACTAAGCTCCACAAATCCTTCACAAGAAGGCTGGTCTCGTGTGGTAAAATGTAAATGCCACCACCTAACATGCCTCTTCACAACATGGCAACTAACACCTCCGACCCAGCACCTCCAGGACGCGCTGTGCACTCCCCGCTGCACCAGGAACCAGCTCCATGGGCTTCCTTCCCGTTTCCCACATCTTCCTCACATACCGAGTTCTGGCATTTGCACTGGTGTTGGCCACACTAATCATTTCAAAACCAGTATTTTGCAGCAAAAAACCAATAATCTTGTCACTAAGTATTCTGAGTTATGGAGATGGTGTACATTTAAGACTCTTGCATTGAGATCTCTATTTGCTAGATTGGGTTTGGTCACTGTCTTTGGCTATGGTCACCCATGGGTGTATTGGGGAAAAGGGTCCTGAGGGTCCAGGATGTGTGATCCTATATATCCTGTGCTTGACAACACAAACTACTTCTAAATAAAATATAGCTTGACAGCGACAAGCCATTAGATGCTAGTAGGCAAAAATCCTGAAGTTCCTGATATCTTTTAAATAATCATTCACTTAATATTGAGCTCAGACTATGTGCCAGATACTATATCTGAATATACTTTGTAGTTTCTAATTTCAAAGTTTTCCCTAACCTAAAATACATACTGCATGCATGTTTGATGTAGGGGAAGAATTACAATGGAAGGGGCCCTGGGTCCTAAGATTCATGGCAAAGTCACAATAGCAACCTGTCTGGGAATCAATTCTTTATTACTCCTAAAGTTTCTTTCAACCTAAAAGAAATTCCACAATTACCTTGAAACCATGTTATATAGTTTTCTCTCTCCAGCTGTTGGGACGTGTGCCAAGAAGTAAGAGTCTTTCACTAAGAGTCTCACACACCCCTAATTATGCGGGAATATCGATGCTTTCCTATTGCCAAACTGGTTGTGCTGGAAAAAAGAAAAACGTCTGGCTGAAGGTCAGGTGGGTGCACAGCAAGCATGGCACAGGGCAGAGGAAGCAGTTTCCACCCCTTTAGCTCACACAGCAGAGATCCCGTGGTGCCTTTTCTTTCCCTCTTTAGTACAGAAATGGATCGTTCAGACGGACTGAGCCCTTACAGCACAGCCCCTTCCATAGGAATGCTGGCCCTCCGGCCACAGCAGAGGCCGACAGTGCCCCCGCCTCCTCAACAGCTCCAGTGCACGCGGGGCCTTTTCAGCTTGGGAAGTGGTCTCAGCTTAAGCCCCGGAACCGCAGCGAAGGCACCCAATTCTTCTGCCTCAGGACCGTTCCAGCGGCGGGCGTTACATGCTACATGGGCACCCACCCGCCTTCAGCTCGCCGTTCTCCAAACTGAACCGTGACTCATCCCTCAGCCAAGCCTGACCGGCCGGTCCTTTCTGTGATCTCCTTCGTTCTGCTAACACCACAAAAACCTACATAACTAGTTAGTATGTTTTCTCATGTCACTCCAGTTTTAAAGACGTGAAATTTATATAGTTACTTATAATCCGTTAACCTACTAATATGCAGTAAATATGGGATAATGTGATTGAGCTTTGCTTTTCAACCCATTCCCCAAAGTACAAGTGTACATCACAGGGGAAATACTTCAATGTTTCTAAAACCTGTAGAGAAACGTTCACGTCATCACGATGGGACACGTGCTGGTTAGAGCCACTCTGTGCTCCAGCGCGGCTCTCCACGCAGCGCAAGGAGGTAGTTGGAGGGGCGTGTGCACTTCTCTTCATATAAAAATACACAAGAGAAACCCTTAAAATAGTACGTAATTCAAACTTTAAACCTCAAGTACAAAGATACCTGAATTATACATGTCAAAGTTTACAAAGGTGTCCCCCACCCCAATTAGTCCAATTGTGTACACTTTGATTGCAAAAAAACAGAATGAAAAAATCAAGAGTCAACAAAATTCACAAGCCAGAAGAAGTTTAGTGCTCACAAGTTTATATTTTTAGGTTTGATAAAGATTCTTGTGTATTTTCTAAATACACGGACAAACAGTCTCGGAAGTTTACATACATGTCTTAGGACACTTATACTAGGTAGGTAAGTTACATTTAAAAATTGGTCTTCGTAAAAGATCTTCCCAAAGAGCTTTTACAAACAGCAGGCAGAGAAAGTGTTCTTTCTATGTTTACAGTGTTAAATGCTGATTCTCCCATTTCATAATGGCCTCAACCACCCCCTCCTCAACCCAAAACGGTGTTTCCAGTAGCCAGTGTACTCCATCCACAGCTAAGTCCCCAGGGTCCCACGCAGGGCTTCCCGTAGCTTCTCCCCACCAGCCTGGCTGCCTAGAGCTGCCCCCGCCGGGAGGCAGGGCCACAGCAGGAGCAAAGCTTCCCTTCTCACCCACAAGGGACTCAGAGACACCTGGACCATGTTTAAGTTTAAGGATCTGGGTGACTGAACGGCACTAGACCTGGGGTTCATGTTTCTTTCTTCATTTAAAAATGAAATGCCGCACTGAGGCTGGGTGCCTGGTTTGTAGGCAGATGGTGCAGCGATGGCTGCACAGGAGGAAGGTAGGGAGGACGTGCACCTGGGGACAGCGGAGAGAAAGGCGTAGACGCTAGATTCCTAACAGCTGTTCTAAGGGAAATGTGTCTCCACAGGGGACTCCTTAAAAGGGTGAACTTCTACAAAAGCTGTTGCATGAGGCCCAGTGGAGCCTCCAGAAGGGCCGGCTCGGAGGCGGCGGTGGGAGCAGCTCGGCCTGGCCTTGACCCTGGCCCTGCGGCTGCTACACGAGCAGGCGGCCGCTGGGAGCCTTTCCTGTCTATAAAATGGAGACAATAGCACCTACCTTAGAGAGAACAGATCAAATAAAGCGCAACGGCACGTGTAGGCACTAAAAAATGGTAGCTTTTGGAATCATTATTCAGAAAAATAAACTCTTCATTCTATGTTGACAAAGTCCTAAAAATATAAGTAAAGCTTATCAAAGTTTTAAAATTTGTGATTTTAAAAACCCAACTCATCATACTTTCTCCATGATTACACCGCTCCAGTTCTTTTCAGGCCTTTGACACTGTTGTAGTGATAGAGTTTCTCTCTTCCCCCTCCTCGTTCCTTCTTTTCCTCTTGGTTCCCGTCTACTGCTGAACAACTGCCAGTGTTCTAAGCATCTGACAAGAGTCTACGCATCACCTCATTCTCATCAGGATGGCTCTACCCAAACCAGCGACTGTTTTCCCCCAAATCTCAAAGCTACTCATGACTGTTCAATTTCCCTTCCTGTAACATCTCTTCTTTTTTCAGCTCTTAGTTGCTGTGGTACTAAAATTTAGCAAAACATCTAGTGACTATGAAAAATGAGGGCCAAACTCTGAATGACAGTGTAGGGACCGTGTAGCGGTGACTGTCAGAAGCCTAAGAAACAGTGTATGACCTTGATTTATCTGAGAGGGTCTGTACTACAGTGAACACCAAAGAGGCAGTTCATGCTCTTCCCCTTCATTAAAATGAAAAGCTCTGAAGTATTTTTAATTTTCAGTTATGAGAGAAAAATTCAGCAAATGTGTTACACACAATTCTGCCAGGGCCCCACAGACCAAACTATGGGTATTTCGTGTTACCTGGGAGACCAACCCTAAGTTCTTAGCATCTCAACTTCCTGAATTTGTACTGTAAGTCAGAAAAAGAACATACTTAAAAAAATAGAAACATCCAGTAGTATACCTTAGTACTAAAACTAGTTTTTAAAAATGATCTAGAAGGGTAAAGGCAGTCCCTCAAGATCATGGAACAAAATAAATTAGGGAGTCAGCAAGTAGAAAAGTTTGTCAGTTCTGTTTCTTGTGAAACGCTTACTTTAAAGAAGAAACTTTTATATAGGCTGAGGCTAATATATTCAAGAGTATAAACATTTTTCCTTTGGATTGCCTTTCTAAAAACAATATGGTAAAGTAAATATAGTCCGATCTGTCATAACACAACATAAAAGGTAATGGACAATCATAGAATATCTTAAATTAACAGTAACAAGCCATCTACATCAAACCTTGTTTCCAACTAAACCAAGCAAAAGCACAACAATCCTGTAGTGTACCACATGTGTATTTCAATTTACTGTATGCAATCTAACAGAAATTTGGTCATAATTTACCAGATATACATAAATGATTTAAGTAGTAAAGAAAATTCAACTTAAAGAGAATAAGTTCATACCTTGGGAAAAGTAAAAAGTACATTAGAGTGTAAAGCCCAGTCCAGTTTCTATGCAATAAGTGACCTGCAGTCTAATAAAGCAGATTTAGCAACTTTCAGATATATATCTTTTCTCTTTAATATATATTTATATATAGACAGATCTACCGATTGTAAACTATGGTTTATTTTAAAGGAGGGGGATAAATGGGATGAAAGAAATCTTTATACTATACTTACATATTCACAATGCAGAACATTTTATGCTTAAAATACTTTTTCATTCATAGTATCTTTACCCAACTAACGTCTACTTTGGACCCCACCAGAACTACATTTTACTCATTTACCTAGAACATTGAGAATAAGATGTACTCTTCAGTCTTAAAAATCAAACCAAAACTATTCGTGTCAGTTTTACAGTTATGTAGAAACTATAATAAAGTTTAGATAATGAAAGATGCATCTGACCATGTAACTGTACTTTATATCTTTAATTTATCCGGGCAGAAACATTGATGTCTAACATTTAAGCATCATTTTACTGAAATCAAAGAAAGCATCTCTTAGAAAAGTATCAATGTTTCACCCTTGATTAAATGGAGCACCACACAGCAGGAAAATATGCTCAATCTCTATTTAAAAGAAAGCTGAAAGTTTGATATCCCTCACTTGATATAATATACAATATGTTCCTGATAATGTTGTGCATATTAACATTAATTATGTGACATCTTGCTGTCATACAATTAGCTAATTCATCTATCATCAGGCTACATAAACCTGACAATTTCTACTTTATAATATATCACCCCTTGTATCCTGAAAAATTCAGTTAATCATAAATTGTAAAGCCTCAATATTTTATTTGTAAGACTTCTGCAGATCACTGAATCAAGGTGACTACTATAAAGACTGCATACCAAGGTGTAGTGACTAAGGAATTGAAAAAAATAATTTTCTATCATAATTTTAAAACACTGAATATCCCAGTAAATATGAAACAAAAGAGAATGCAATTTTTGTGTTAATTTTAATGGTAAAAGGGCACAAGAGTAAAAACCTGATAGTTCACTTATATTGCATAACAAGCTAACCAAACTGGACATGGAGGATAAATCATAAAACAAATCATTTTACTTATTGTTTCTATGACTCTTCTTTCAATCAGATTTCTGTCTTTTCAAATAGGACTGAGGTATAGTACACTGGCAAAAATAAAAAAAGGCAAACAAGAATAGTGCCAAAGTAACAGATACCCAAAACCGAATACCATGTCAGAAAACATCATATAGAACCATTTTATCAGATTAGAGCAGCAAGAGGAAGTGACTTCTAAATCATAATCATTTAGTGGTATTTATCAACTTCGTCACGATAACTTTGCAACATCATTCTTCATTTGTGAAGTAGTAAAATTCATGTCAAAAAGGAAGGGGGAATGGAGGAAGTCAATTAGTTCATTCCAATAAATTACCTCTCCAGTTCTTATAAACATGCCCATCAGCACAAAATTGAGAAATAATACCTAAGACTAGAAGAGACTTGGTTTAACTTATGAAGCAAATCAAAATGGAAAATACAGAAAAGTACAACCAATGGGGTTGAAAAGGCCCCTCACTGAAAATCTGTATTAAAAAAAATAAAATTAATAAAAATAAAAATAGAAACAAAACTCTACTAGTACAAACTAGCCTGAGTGGTTTGGTGGACAGTGTAGTTGGGCCAGCTGTCACTGTATTCTCATAACTGGATTTTCTTCATTCCGGTTAAACTGGTACGTAAACGTCAGCTCTTTACAGACAGGTAATCCATTTTCATTAGGACCCAAAGAGTTACTGTATATCCTATAAATAAAAAATATTTTTACTTTGATAACTGACTGAAGATGTGGGGACTCCATGTAATCCAACCGCAAGGTTGGTTGCTGTCCAGTCCTGTGCAAATATAAAAAAATTTTGCTATAAGGCTTTGACCCTACAGTTTTCACAGCAACTTAACTACCATCCAGCATGTACCATATTTGCAAGCCTTCAAGTTCAACAATTCAAATTGTCGCTTCATGTTACGTCCCAATGCAGCATCCTTGAGGAGCAGAGTAGGCCAATTAGTCATCCTGAGACATACAGACGTCTCCCAACTCGTCCCAGCGTGACGGGTGGTTCTGATCTTCTCCCTCGTCAGCCAGCTCTTCTTCGGCTTCTCCCCCTTCGTTCTCCTCGTACTCTTCATCCCGAGGGAAATCTGTCTCCTGTCCCTGATCTACACCTTCTTGCCTTCCTGGCCGTGGTTTATCTGCACATTCTACACAAATACCATAGCGTCGAGATCCATGTCTGATTCCAACACTGGCAGCTAATATGAAGATCTTCTTACACACCATACATTTGTATTTTTTATCCTTTTTATGCACCTAATTGAAGGGGGGAAAAAATCCAATAAGGACGGTATAAACAACTGAATGCATTTGAACCACTCAAATCACCAGCTGAACCGTGAGTCAATATACCATTTTTGCTGTATGAGGCTCAGTATCAGACCATAAGTCATACTCTTTGTTTAAAGCTATTAATAATCAGCCTTCCTTAAAACTGCAGTAACAGTGCTAATATGCCTTAAACTTTACTGACATAAACATTGTTTAGCTCAAAGATCAGTTATATTTAAAGTTACTTACCAGGGAATGTCTTTTTACATGCTCTCTGCGAGTAAACAGTTTTCCACAAATATCACAGCTAAAGGATCTGACTCCCGTATGAATGAGCAAATGCCTTTTTAGTGTTCGTCTGTATTTGGCTACATAGGTACAATGAGGGCATTTTAACTTGTTCATGTTTAGAGATGATTCACCTTTGAGAATAAAAAAAAAACACAGAAAAGCACTTATATATAAAACAGAAAACTTGCTCTCAAAAGCTTACCTATCCCTGAGAACAGGGACAATTACAGGGCTACTACTGTCTTAATTAAAAAAAAAAAACCCAAAACGCCACAACTCAGAATAATTCTGTAGATGTTTAGGTGACTAATACTTGCCATTTTCCCAAGTTTCTTGTTTTGGCCAAGATTCAGGCAACAATCCATACTTGAAATCGTTTGCAGCACCTGGTAGCAATCCATACTTGAAATCGTTTGAAGTACCTGGTAGCAATCCATACTTGAAATCACTTGATGGGCCAGGCATCAGGCCATACTTGAAATCATGTGAAGTACCTAATACAATTGAAAAGTGATTTCGATGTAATAATGGTAATAAAGATCTGTCTTTTGCTGGAATAAAAACACACAATAAATGAGCATTAAGATAGAAGAGCTTAATTTAAAATAGCTAAATAAAAAACCTCTACATTTTAATCTAAAACTGACATGTTTTCATACTTTATTACCTAATTATAATATCCTAATTGGCAGGCATCTTAAACAGAAAACAAATTAAAGTTTAAAATACAATTCAAACATGGGGGAAAATTCAGTGAAATAAATCTAAATACTATTTAGTGGTGTGTGGAGGCCACAATGAAAATACTGTCTTTCAAACATATTCAACACAGAACCCTGTCTTAAAATAGTTGCTCTTCCTAATTATTCTGTCACTCAAGACTGCCAGCCCAAAGCCGAGCTGTGGAACTAGATGGTCTCCTTCTGTCCCCAAACAATCACATAGCCTTGTTTTAAGACTAATTGGTTTAGAAAAATGGACAAAGGATGAAAAATATAAACAGGTAAACTACAAGTATCAAGTTCTTGTATTATCAGGCCCTTGTCTGTGGTCATAGACACACTGGGCAAGGTAACGGAATGCCTGTGGGGGCTTCACCAAAACCTCTTTCTAAACCCATCCTTGAAGAAATGGAAATCAAGAGGGGAGAATCAGAACACAATAGCCGAAGTCCCGTGGGATCTTCAGAAGAGCTAAACTAGGAATTCTCTCTTCCGGACCTGGTCCCATGTTGACTATTCCTTGTACTGGGAATCCTTGGGCAATGTGAATCCAGAATCCTCATGGCTACTGCCACCCAGATCCAATTCACCATCAGCTCTAGCCGCTGGATGATGCTCAGCAGCCATCAGCTTATCTGCCTTCCTACAGTGCAGTTCAACACAACAATCAGGTTCTTTTGAACACATTGCGTACCGCATAGAAGTCTCTAAGACATACGCCAGGGACCGCACGTTTTTGGGCAAACTGCACGTTATTTAAATCATCATAATGCACTTTAGGTGTTGTTTTTCAATAATTATAACATTTTTATTTACAAAAACAAACAATTAAAGTTCCTAGTACTTTTTAACGTGTGGTACTGCGTAAAACATTTTCCTCTATGAAGAGGGACCAAACAAAATTTACGTAAGTATCTAGATTCGCTCCTATTTCCATGGGCGTGAAAAACGAGAACACTCGTGAGCGGTCCTTAACAGATGGCGCGCGAAACACGAGAAAGCTCCTGAGCGGACGAAATGTGTTAAAACTCAGTCAGAGCCTGGCACTCTGCTCAAAAGCCCGCAAGGACTATCCATCGCACTCAGAGTAGAAGCCAAGGACTCCCCATCTCCTACCAAGCAGTGCCTGACGAGCCCTTGCTTCCAACTGCTCCTGGCCGCTCTGCTCCAAGCAGACTCCCCGGTGCTGTCCTCTGTGGTGAAATGGTCCTACCTTCAAAGTCTCTGCCTGGGACTTCCCCCTTTCAGGCTGTGCACAGCTAACTCGTGCAGCAACTGATTAAGTTTCCTCCCACGTATACCATGGATATAATAAAGGACAGCTTCTCAAAAAATGGGTTTTCTAAGAATTTGTTTCCCAGCCCAGCTGGTTGACTCAGTAGACAGAGTGTTGGCCTGCAGACTGAAAGGTCACAGGTTTGATTCTGGGCAAGGGCATGTACCTGGGTTGTAGGCCCTGGCCCCAGTTAGGCAGGGAGCACGTGGGAGGTAATCAACTGATGTCTCTCTCACATCGATATCTCCCTCTCCCTCTCTAAAAATCAACAGGAAAATATCCCGTGAGGATTAATAAAAAAATAAAAAATAAAAATTCATTTTCCTATACTGCATCTATTTGCAGGTACATTAATTTTCTTAAAAATTAAAATAACTGCCCTAGCTGGAATTAAACTTGGGACCTTTCAGTCAGCAGGCCGATTCTCTATCCACTGAGCCAAACCAGCAAGGGGGCGAGCAGGAGGCAGCCAATCAGTGACTCTCTTTCATCACTGATGTTTCTATCTCTCCCCCTCTCCTCTCCTATCCCCCTCTCCTCTTCTCCTCCCTTCCTCTCTGAAATCAATAAAAATATATTTTAAAAATTTTTGTTTAAGAACTTAAGACGTCTTTTTTGGTGAAAGTATCAATACCCAATAGCGCGCAAAGGCCTCTTGGGGATTTAAAAATCGCATTTCATTGCTAACAATGTAAATTGTTTTGTGCTTAGAAAGCCACCCATTTTGTTAAATGTTAGGAAAGCCCTCTCAAAAACAAAAAACAAAGGAATAAAAGAAAAAAGAAGGAAATCTCAAATCCATAATTACATAATTTAACTATAATGTATTGCTGTTTGGGGGAAAGTTTTCAGAATCCTAGTGAGGCAGCTTGTCTGTGTGTGCGAAGGAATAGATCACCTTCACGTTCCTAAAGTTTGCGCTTTGTGGCTCACAGTTCTTATCCAAATCAATGCCTGTCTTGCCTTTGTATTTTTTTAAAATATATTTTATTGATTTTTTTTTTTACAGAGAGGAAGGGAGAGGGATAGAGAGTCAGAAACATCGATGAGAGAGAAACATTGATCAGCTGCCTCCTGCACACCCCTTACCGGGGATGTGCCCGTAACCAAGGTACATGCCCTTGACCAGAATCGAACCTGGGACCCTTCAGTCTGCAGGCCGACACTCCATCCACTGAACCAAACCAGTCAGGGCTTGCCTTTGTATTTTTAATGTCCAAAACATACTCTTCAGTTATTTGTTGAATAAATGGTATCTGGCAAATGGTATTTCTGACATGCTCAAAATACTTGAAAAATTAACATAAGAAATCATGTTAGATATTCTGATATCAACTAAATATTATTCATTACATAAAGGAACAGACAGAATAGCCTAAAACATGAATTGATAATCCAAGAGTCAGAATTAAAGATTTTGAATACTTGAAATTCCATGTTTTTCTAAATAACCTACAGTAAAGACATAACAAAAAGCATTCATGATAATAGGCAAGAGAGCATTCTGAAATTCAAAATAATTCAAATTAAGGAAGGCTTATCCCAAACTTAGTCACCTCTCCCAATTCTTACAATAATGGGCTATCTTGTAGGATACCTAAGAGCAGCCTGAAGAAAGGCTCCTTTGTAATCTAACCCACTGAAGGGTCATAAAGTCATTGAACAGCTACTGCAAAATTGTGCTTATGATTCCACTAGTAGCCCTGCGCATGAATCCGCGCGCCAGTAGCTCGCTGCCACCCTCCAGTAGCTCTCCCCCGGCACTGCCCCCCCCCCCCTGCCTGCCCAGCCCCTCATAGCTTGCTGCCCTATCCTGCCCTGCTTGAGCTCGCTGCCCCACCCTCCTGCTGATCCATGATCTGGTCGTTATGCAGTCGGCCATTACACTTCACGGCATAGCAACTATTTGCATATTACATCTTTATTATATAGGATAATAGCAAACTAAGAAGACAACAATGTTTTTATAGTCACAATTTTAAGATAAAGGCTGGTCTCAGTTGCAAAAAATCCAATGAATCAAAGTGTCCCCTAAAGACAAGTGACTCTAAATCAAGGTGTTTCTTTTTTTGAGAATGAGATAAATTAGACCATTACCTGAAAATGTGTATGTGCAAATTTAAAACAACGTATGAATGCACACAGCCCAACTGACCAGTCCATTCTTAAAACAGATTTCTAAACCAAAAGCAAGGGCAAGAAAACATTCCTGTACTCAGTGATTCTCTGTACAGCAAAAGTCTTCAAACTGTAACCCAAATAATCTGTAAACTACTAACTTCAAAACCTTTTTTGTAAATTCTTTCAACAGTTAGGAGAAACCACCTTAAGGGAGCTTCTCCGAGTTTTGGCTTCGTTTTTTGCTGGTGTATTCTGACTTCAGAAGCCCAACAGCTTTTGGTAAGAAGTACTCCTAGTAATCCCCTCCCCATCAATTCTTTAAAAAATGTCTAGGCTACACAAGCTGAAACAATGACCATCTATATCCCTTTATGTACATTCAACAAATGTTCATTTTGCGGAATGTGCTCTGCGATACACATACACACCTTTGATGTCTATTTGAAAACAAGCTGTACAACCATCACTTCACCCCTAAACACAGCGTGCATCTTTTAGAACTTTCTCCCACATAACCACAGCACCTTTACACATCCAAGAAATTTAAAGTTGTTCAACACCTGTCATTTAATCCATACGACATTTTTAAATATCCAGCTGTGCCCAAAATGCCCCTTTAGTCCTTGTTGGGACTCATGATATAGTCATGATGGACACTGTGCGCTTGGTTGGTCCCCTCAATCCATGGTCCCGCTGCTTGTTTTTCCTGGCACTACACCTTTAGAATGTGGACTAGCTGGACTTACGTCCATCTACCTCCTTTCCTGTGTGATCAGACCTGGGGCAAGAACACCATACACACTGTGCGTCAGGAGGCCCGTGTTCCGGTTCCTTTCACTACAGCACTGTCTGATCACTCACTCGGTGATGGCCACTCATCAGACCTCTTTATCGTACAGCCCCCTTTTCCTCTTTGTGACTGAAGACACCCTCACCCTGTAAACCTTCCATTCCCACATGCCTGTGCGCAGTCCTGGAAGCCCATCAACCATGTCACCACAGAGTGACGTTCTTGAATTATGTCCTGTGGGGATGCAAAAATATCATTCTTCTATATTTATTAGCTTGTCCTTCTTCTGTAAAGAAAGCTTTCCCTTTCTAATTGACTCATAATGTATTCATGTAATTCTGTGGAATGTGCATGAATTCTTTGTTCCCTAAAGTACAGCTGATATACCAGGTAAATACTACTATTTAGAATTAATATTTTCTGTAGCCAGCAACAGCCAATTATTTTATATCAAAGCTAATTCAAGTACATTTATCATTCTAATAATTACCATTCTCATGCCATCTATATTTTAACACAGTGGTTCTCAACCTTGGCTGCACATTAGAATCACCTGGGAATCTTTTTAAAATCCTGATTTCTGGGCCTCATCCTCCGGAAATTCTGTTTCTTTGTTATGGGATGAGGCCACAACATTAGTAACAAAGAAACAGAATTTCCGGAAGATGAGGCCCAGAAATCAGGATTTTAAAAAGATTCCCAGGTGATTCTAATGTGCAGCCAAGGTTGAGAACCGCTGCTTTAACAGAAGTCATCATAATTACTTTTGATATTGAGTTTTACAATGTCCACCCAACAAAGGAGAAATGCCTATCTTTTTATTTACAGGCTTCCAAAGTCCATCATAATCACAGACACCACAGATGAAAGTACTTACATATAATCCTCTCCTTTAAGAAAAAGAAACTGGAGTAGGTCCTTAGTAAACATGTACACAAACACTTCCCAATCCTCAAATCCTCTTAAATGTATTCTTTTTAAATTCTTACTGCACGGTGGAGGGGGGTTAAAGGGACACTGTAATACTGTCGACAACAACAAGTCCTGCTGTGCCTACCAGCATCGCCTGCATCCTGCCCCAAGCTGGCTTCGGCCAGCACGTTTGCGTTCACATTCCTGTCACAGTCCGGCCCCGGGAGCAGAGCACCATCCAGATCTGAAAGAGATGGAAAGTCATCTGTTATTACAGCCGCACCACAGCCGCCACCCAACACACTCCCTTCTGGAACTGTTTCTTGGGCACACAGAGGGCTGTCTGCAAGTGCTGAACACCTGCTCAACACCGCAAGGCACGGAAGGGCAAGACATGATTTTCAGCCTCAGGAGTAAGTGCACACTCAGCAGCAAGCACAGCGACTGGAGAGCATGAGCTGCGAGCCCGGTGCACCGGTCCTCCAGCCCCATTTGCTACTGGCTACGTGAGCGCATGTCAGTTTCCTCACATGCATCTACTTGTATCAGATTTGACAGAGAAATTAGGTTACTGCAAACCAAGGGTTATAATTATGTCTGGCACCCAACAGAGGATGACTACTGCTGGTACAAAGTACTAGATGTATAAAACATCATATGGCTCAGAGGTGGGAAGGAAATATAAAGCTAAAATAAAAAGGAAGCTATCAGAGAAGAGGTCATTCCCAAGAGTTCATAGCGAACTGTGGAAAGGATGTGACAGGCAGCGCACAAGAAAAAAGCTCACTAATGTGCTAATCCCTTTAAATCTGTTCCATCCCTTCATTTCTCTACCACTGCCTGCAACTGGCTCGTGTCTTTACTCTCCTGATTAGTGAGTAAATGACTCAAACAGTTCCTTGGTCTCCTTGCTTCCCGAATACAGTGCTCCCACCACCACTCTCCCCACACACTGCCCGAGAGATCTTCCAAAAACAGCAATCTTTAAGTTGCTCCTTTCCTTATGATTGCCCACGGTTAACCACAGCTTTTACGATAATCTTCAAACTCCTCTGAGTCCAAGGTAATGTTTCAGGTGCCTGCTTAGGAATCTAGACTCACCCACTGGCACCATCTACTCTCCCAGATGAATCGCACGTTTCTGAAGACAGTGTTACAATGCTGCGTACTATGGACTGCCCCTCTTCTGCCTTCTATTCAAGACCCATCCTTGGTACCACCATTCCGTACTGCTCCGATTCTCAATACTAAAGGTTAAAAAATTTATGGGGTGCAAATATAATCATACAATGAAATGCTACCCAGCAGTGGTTCTAGTGCAGCTATAAACCCCAAACCACCCACCAGATCTGGTACTTTCATACTACGAGGCAAGTAGGATAACACTTCCATCATGACCAAGAGAAGAATAGTTTAATTGATCCCAAGTAGACACAAATAGTGATGTAGGCTCCTGCAGGCTTCCGTAAAGAATTGGCCTTTTTTTGCTAAGAGCAATAAAAGGGTTTTAAACAGGCTGCTAGTCTCATTTGTCTTAAAAAAAAAAAAACAAAAAAAAACCACACAACAGAAATATTCCTGGTGTAGGAATGAATCGAAGGAGGGCAAGAGGAGATACAGGGAGACCAGTTAGGAAGCTATTTTAATACTACAAGTGAGAGCTGGTGGTGGCTTGTGACTTGGTTGAATGGCCATGGCAAATGGAGAAAAGTGGATGAATTTGAGTTTGTGGGGGAAAACTGACAGAGTTTGGTGACAGACTGGGTGCTGGGGTGGGGGCGAAGGTCATGAGTACGTTTCCAGACTGCTGCTAATGGCAGCTGGGAACCTGAGGAAAGCCCATTCTGGAGGGAACAGGAGGTGTAGGAAGTTCAATTGTGAACTTTACGGAGTGAAACGTACTTCAGAACAAGGCTGAGTAATGTGCTTGGGGCGGACGGGGTGAAGAAGGCAGCGCTAGGACTTCCTGGGGCCAGCTCTGCCACGGCCCCGCGGTGAAACAGGCTACTTTGCTTCTGTGATTGAGGACTGCGCCACAGTGCTCGTGCAGTCCCTCCCCCGGCAGCAGTGCTAGCTGGGAACTTCCTAGAAATGGCATTTCAGGCCGCCGCAGACCTACCAGACTGTGGAGGTGGGCCCAGCAACCTGGAGTTAGTAAGCCCTCTAGGGGACTCGGATGCTCAGGGAAGACTTAGGGCTGTATTTTTTTCTTCCAGGTGGAGAAATTTAGTACCAAAGACTATAAATTTGGTGCTTGAGCTGGGGACAAAAATGTTTGCGTCGTTAGAATACACATGGCAAACAAAGCCATGGGAGTAAACAGATGAGGCCTTGAGGAATCCTAGCATTTAATAATCTACCAAAGGGTATAAAAAGATTTTTAGAAAAGTATTTCAAGAAGTGGTCCACTGTGACAGTGCTGTCAAGAATTCAAGATGAAGCCTGAAATACGGGTCACTTTCATTTCATCCAAGAATCCTGAGCACCTCAGTGGGTGTGTCGGGGCAAGCAGGAAGTAACAATGGCCTGTGTTAAAAATGGGAGATGGCCCTAACCGGTTTGGCTCAGTGGATAGAGTGTCAGCCTGCAGACTGAAAGGTCCCAGGTTCGATTCGGGTCAAGGGCTTGTACCTTGGTTGTGGGCACATCCCCAGTAGGAGGTGTGCAGGAGGTGGCTAATCGATGTTTCTCTCTCATCAATGTTTCTAACTCTCTATCCCTCTCCCTTCCTCTCTGTAAAAAAATCAATAAAATATATTAAAAAAAAGAATGGGAGATAATGAATTAGGAGATAATACAATTTGAGAACTTTGGCTGTAAAAGGGAAGAGTGCCGAATAGAGTAAGAGTTTTGTCATTTACAAGATGAAAGTAATAAACATATTTCAATGTTGAAAGGAAGAAGTCACTAAGAAAGGGAGAAGTTAAAGCTATTGAAGAAATACCACAAAAAGAAATGGTCAGGTTTGTAAGGTTCCCAGGGAGTCTGTTTGGGTAACAGGAGAGAGAGCAAGGAACATCTGTCCAGAGAGGAGTTTGAAGGCAGCACTCAGGACTTTTCTGTCCAGTAGATGGGAGGGTGATGCCAGTGTATGAAATAGGTGGGACGTCAGGAGGATGACTGAGAAGTAAACAGACCACAGTCCTTCACCCGGTCCTTCAGAGCAGAACACTATTTGGGTTTTATTTTCCCAACTAGAGGCCTGGTGCATGAAATTCGTGCATGGGGGGTATGTCCCTCAGCCCAGCCTGCACCCTCTCCAATCTGGGGCCTTTCAAGGGATGTCTGACTGCCTGTTTAGGACATCCCTCTCACAATCCAGGACTGCTGTCTCCCAACCGCTTGCCTGCCAGCCTGATCGATGCCTAACTGCTCCCCTGCCGGCCTGGTTACCCCTAACTGCCCTCCCCTGCCGGCCTGGTCACCCCTAACTGCCCTCCCCTGCTGGCCTGGTCATCCCTAATTGCGCTCCCCAGCAGGCCTGATCACCCCCAACTGCCCTCACTTGCAGGCCTAGTCTCTCCCAACTGCCCTCTCCTGCTGGTCTGATCGCCCACAACTGCCCTCCCCTTCTGGCCATCTTGTGGCGATCATCTTGTGTCCACATGGGGGCAGCCATCTTGTGTGTTGGAGTGATGGTCAATTTGCATATTACCTCTATTAGATAGGCTATTTATCAAAATGCATAACAAATAAAAAGCTTTTCAAGAAATGTTAAATGCTACTTAAATAATCTGCCCTTTGCAACATTACTAGTTTAGTTGTAATTAATGGTGTTTGAAGAAAAATTTCTCAGTTTTCAGGTGTACAATCACACTAAAACACGTCCATACACTGAAAAATAAGTGAAATTCAGTAGCTTTGTTTTCCTATGAAAAGTTAAATGTATTTTGAAATTCAAAAATAAAATGCAAATCACTATCCAAACAATGTTACTAAGTTTCTGTCTTTTAAAAACAGTAATTCGAAAGTGTAGCCTGTTGAGAGGGCATCTGTCAAATTCCCACAATGGTTTGTCAATATGGGGTATTTCTATTTATGTAACATTCTATAGTGATTTGTTGAAGGCTTTCCTCTGCTGGTTCTTAAAACAGACATCTCCCGTCTTCTACCCCATCTCGAAAGTATTAGAATTTAACTTGTAATCTTTAATCCTACACGGACACTGCGTACACAACAGCAATAACAGATGGCTAGTGTAGTCGTCCTGTGTGCAATATTTCCCCTCCACACAAAACCACACCCATGCTAGACAGTAAATCTCTTTGGAGAGGTACCAGCTACTTGGTTCTTGGAATTAAAAACAAACCTCAACACAGGTGAGCTCTGCCAAGCTGACAACAGCTTTCCTAAGTAGCATGCTTAATGCATGAAGCAATACATCACATCACTCTGGACCTTACGTGACACCAGCCAAACTGCCTAGCAACTCATTTCTCATCAGTTTCGCTGATGTGAGTGGGAGAGAAGCCAGGCAACCAACTGTTCACTTGATATAGGGACGAATTTGCTTCGCTGGGAAGTAAAGGCAGTAAATCTTCCTCACCATCTTTTTCTCTAAAATTATAAGATTAAAAAGTAAACTCTTTAACATATTTGCTTTTCTAACATTCATGACTTTGCTATGGAAATCTTTCACTTCATTTAAACTTAGCAAAAAGGGCTAAGATCTCTCTACAATTGTCAGACCTTTTAAAGAACTATTAAAACATTAGTTTCACAAGATAACAGCTTTCTGAATGGTAGCAGGTATTATGTGTGCTGTGTAATATGATTCCAATCATCAGAGCTAAAAGATAAGCAATGTGTAATTTCTTTTATTTTTACAAATGTCTTTCTCCCATGAACAGGTAATAGCAGACCCCTCCTTCAAAGAAGACAAAGAACAGAGTTTATGCATCAAGCAGTAAGTCCTTTTGTATATGCTTTCTCACGCAAACTTTCCATGTGTATGTCACAATAGTAAGAATGTTTGTATCCTCATTGCATGAGGGAGCTAAGGTTAAGCTAGACTCTAGCTGCTAGAGGTAGAGAGCTGCACTGCTCGTTGACCCAACTCCTGGTAATGTGTTATAAGCACCAGCCGTGTGGCCTGGTGCACAGCAAACAACCAAAAAGGGCTCAATTTGCAATGCTGTCCACCTTAAACTCACTTTCTAGTGATACTTGATATACTGTTCTGCTAAAGGAGCAAAGATAACCCTCACTACATTCTGCTAAACCAGCATTCAACTTTATTGACTT